TTATGCAAAAATCTCTAATCTTGAAATTTAATTGGAAGGGCATAAAAATCTCGAATCGCGAAGGGATACAAATAAAATCGCGAGTGGCTATGCTCGTAAAAATTCGAGCAAAACGATACATTTTGTATCGTTCAAAAAAACACATGTAAAATACAAAAAAATAATTAGCGAGCATAGTGACAAAATGACTGTCCATCCTAAGATGGACAGCCATTAATAGTTCCCCTCTTCTTTGGCAATTTTGCCGGGGCTCTTCGGCATATAGCCTCTTCTCTCTTCGGCATAGCCTCACAAAAATCACTCGCGAAATTTTACGGTAACTCGGACATTCTTACTTTTCAATTACATAAATTCTCAATTTCGCTGTCAATCTCCATAAACAGATAGCAGACAATTTCATAAAAATAAAATTGCATTGCTATGCATTTATTTCGATCGACAACAAAATCGAAATTTTATGCAATATATAATAAGTTAAGAAAAATAATTACTCAAATTATTAGACAAACATAAATCAATGAATTACTTACTTGAAATCAAAGCCTGAAACATACAAAAGTAATTAATATAGAAAATCGAAGGATCAAGGGATGAAATCTCCCTTTATTCGAAACGAAACTCTTCAAAAATCGAAATCGTAGATTTTGGAAACCTCAACTCCGAAATAAAAAGACGAAAAGATTCAGAAACTTCAAGACTCGAAACAAAATCACGTTGTTTGAAAATCTTGAATCCGAAATAAAAACCCGAGGAGATTAAAAACCTCAAAACCAAAATGAGATGACGAGGAGATCCGAAGACTTCGACACACGAAATAATATGCACGAGATGAAACTAAAGCATTAAAAATCAATCAAATAATAAAGTAAGACAGTAGAAGAAATAAACTAGAGAGGAAGCTTGAAAATTTCGAAGCTAGAAATAAAATCAGATAGAAAATTAGAGGCCCTACGAGTGAGTACAGGATGCAGGACACACACCATTCACGCACTCACGCATACTGTAATACATTCTAAATGCCCTACATGTACCTCTTATTCTAAAATTGCACTCGTATATAAAACTTTAAAAAAGAGCAAGGGGATATGAAAGAAAGTTGGAAGAACTTTCTTTTAAATTTGGGGAAATTGAGAAAAAATTACAAACTATTACTACAGTATAATATATAAATTAAAAAATTGTGACAAAGATGAGTGCAAGTTAGAATAAGAGGTACTTACAAAGTGCGCAGGCTTTTCGTCACAATTTGTGACGAAAAACCTGCGCCCGAGCCCACCCTTCCTCCCACAAGCTCGGAATTAAAAATCTAATGCACTCAACATGACTTACCAAAAATTGAATGCTAAAACAGACAAAAATTTATTAACACAGAAATTTGAGAAGAGAAAACAATGTAAGGACTTACCAAAAATTAAATTCTGAAACAGACAAAAGTTATTAAGACAAATATAAATTATTTCACTACTTACTTATAATAAAAATCTGAAACAGACAAAATTTTATTAACACAGAATATAGTGGGAGAGGGAGCAAAATCTTTCTTTATTTCACACAAGAATTTCAAAAAATACGAAACGCAATGAAAATTGCGGATTTGAGGAAACGACAGAACTTAGCAAAGAAGAAACACTAAATCAGACAAAAATATATTAAGACAGAAATTTGAGAAAAGAGAGCATTAACTTACCAAAAAATAAAATCTGAAACATACAAAATTTTATTATCCTACAAAATTATACGAGAAGTGAAACAACCCTATCGAGAAACAGAAAACACAATGACAATTA